GCAGCTAGCAGACGTTCGTCATTGTCTCCAATTCGTTGGATTCTTCATAGGGATCGGTGGCTCACTTGCAGGGTGTCTGTTGCCCACAGAGACGTTCATGTTTGTCGGTGTCACCAATCTCACCTACACAGTCCGAGTAAACGGTGTCGCACTGTTCTTCTCGGATTGGAAACGACACTTCCTTGGCTTTTGATGAGGCAACCTGTAAACTGTCAAAAACTCATTGGCCAGAACAAGAAGCTACGAACGTAGCTCCTGACCTTAGGAGCGATCGGACGCTACGAACCTAGCTCCTGGCAACGCTACTAGGCACAATTTCGTTTCGGATGACCGATTCACCGTCCGACAACACCGGCGACTCGTCCGACACCGGTCAACACCCGCCACGGCGCCGTTCGCCATCTTCATGAGGAAGCTTCGCCCCGCTCCCCTCGGGACCATGTTGCCAACCTACTTACTCGTAGTAATGCCCCTTGTAGTAAGGCCAGGAGCCCGTACTAGTGCCCTTGCTACTAGATCTACTCGTAGTAATGCCCTAGCTACTAGTAGCGTTCTTGCTACAAGTAGCGATGCACCTTGTTACTAATAGCGATGGCCTCCAACCTACTAGCGATGGCCTCCGGAATGGTCCAAAATGGTCCAAAACGACGCAAGTGAGCCGCACGCACAAATCAACCAACGCGATGAGCCTGAGAAACACTCATCCGACAAATCAACCAACCCCTTGAATTTCGGTCATAAATCAAAGGAGCATAGAAATGGATAGTCAGCCAAACTGACTATCCATTTCGTTCAAAAGGAATACCATGAATCTGCTCCAACCCTGTTGCTTGATACCGACCTAGCTTGAGACACATTGGCACACTAATCTAGGTCTGACACAATCACAACAGTCCTGTTTGTGCCTTGGCAGGAAAGACCAGCAAAGGGGCTGCGGCATGAAAGAGAAGAGCTTGTACTCAACAACCTCTCAATGGTTATCAGCCTGCTGAATGACATCTATTCCCGTTCATCTTGCTTTAAAGCTCTGTTTTTCTTCCGAAATCATCCCCAACCTCCCGAAGAATGAACGAACACGTCAACCGAGCTCTTTGTACCAAACCGACACACCAAATATCCGCTGCACTACGGCTCTTTGGTCCAGCTTAGCTTCTTCCCTTTCCCAATGTGCAGCGGCAAGAAGCTACCAGTAACAAGTGCATTCATTTTTCCCCAAAATCATAAAACTTAGCCTTTCTTCCCTACTAGAGGTCATCGCTACCAGGTTGGAGGCCATCGCTAGGAACAAGAGTACTCTTTGGTTTCCAAAAAGCAGTACCTGAGCGATCGGACGCTAGAAGCGCCGCTTACTTCGTTCCGGGCGTCTTGCGCAGCCGCGCCGAAGTCGTGGTCTGCACCGAGCCGCCGCGCATCACGTCCTGCGCCACGTGTGCCACGTCTGCCAGACATTGCTTACATCTGTTCCTAGTAGCGTCCTTGTTACTACTAGTAAGGCACTTGTTCCTAGTAGCGTCCTTGTTACTAGATGCACTTCTTTCTCATTCGTTCTCTGAAATCTGTTTGAATTGGTTCTTTTTCGATATGGCCAACATAGACTTCGACATCGGGTCTTCAACATGATTGTCTATGCTACTTGAGCGTCGACAGCACCATGTCATTGAAAACACACCATTAACTATCACTTCGACATTAAACATAGGAGCAAAGGGCATCGCTACTAGGAACAAGGACGCTACTCGGGGCCCCTGGCCTTACTAATACGTACCGTGCGTTGTCCCACGGTTTTCAAACTTCCAAATGTTGGTCAATAGAATCAGTTCAGGACCGAATTCTATTTCAAGCACCACTATGGATGACACACGGAGGCATGAACGCAAGAGGCCTAAGCGCATGAATGAACTTGTTCATCAGGGGGTCCCCAGCGAATGAGTTGTTTCGTGTCCACAACTGGGTTAGTGGAGGAACTTTCCCAAGCAATGCAAGCGTCTGGATGATTCCAAGAAGCCTCCAACTGAGGAAACGTAGCCACACACACAACTGAGATCTGAGACTTTACCTCCACAAAGCCTCCATCAAAGTCATCTTCATCTCAAGAAGCTACTAGTAACAAGGGCACTACTACTAGTAGCAAGAAGCTACGAACGTAGCGACGCACTTGTTACTGACACTCCTGTTTTGGGTCCCTCCCTGAGTTCCGTGCCAAGGCTCCATCTCGGACTCTAATTGCTCCTTCAACACGTCCGGGTTGGTCCAGAAGCGCGACGCCACACTGGCCACTGTGGCGCGAGGATTGGTGGAGCTTAGTCCATTCGGCTCCGTGTCGTGGAGCGCTGGCTTCTGATCCAGATCCTCCAGGAAGGTGACGATGGACAGTAGGGAGCGCTCCTGCGGGAGCCGAGAAGAGGCTCCCAGCCGACTCAGTGCCTCCAAGTGCACATGCGAGTTGATATGCCAAGGAAAGGAAACGAGTACCCGGACCAAGTGAAAGCTTCAAAGGTGCTGGTTGTTGAGGGCCTGTCTCAACTCACCTTGGCCATCAAACATTAAATTGAACACATAGGAAAAGAGAACATGGCAAACTCCTCTTGACTTCAAGGTCTTTCCAACAAGCAAATGCTTCTGTTTCCCTCCGGATTCCTGCTGCTCTTGAAGCGCTCGCAAGGATCGTCTCAACTCGTGCGTCTCCATGGCTGTGCGGGCACCGCAGCAGCGCGTTCTTTGGACTAAACACGTCGCGTGATTTGAGCCCAACGGCTACAGCTTTCATTGAGACGGGAGGTAGGTATCTTCAAAAGGGTGTTTCAAAACATCACTTGCACCTTTTGATACACACATGGTCCAATGGTGCACATCTTCCGAAGGAGGTGCATGAATGAAGCCATGGATGTATCGAAGAGTTGCATCTGCAGGCTGCAGACCGTTGTTGACTCGTTCACTCCCTGTGGGTTGTTCCTGGCCTCGTTCCAGTGCTCATGGTCAGAGTGCTCAGACCCCATGGAGGTCTGTCCAGTTCATGTTCCGGAAGAGATGCTTTCATTCAACCAAAGCATTCCAACCTTCACAACAATGCTGAAAGGCAGGAGCACGAGTTGGATGCCCAAAGTCCATCTCCAGCACAGTTAAGTTTCCCAAAACATCTAGGAACCAAATCGTGAGCTATCCTGCGTCCAGTTCCTAGTAGCCTACTAGTAAGGTACTAGCTACCTCAATTTCCTTACTTAATCAAGTAGGCAGCTACTTAATTAAGTAGGGAAGGGGGGGAGCGGGCAAAAAAGACAAAGCAGGGGGGAAGTTCTCAACGAACTGGCAACTCCAAAGTTACTAGTAGCGATGGCCTCCATCCTAATTAGCTTCTTGCTACGAGTAATGAGTTCCAGGTTGCAACATGAACACATGGGGATCTCTCGCTTGCTGGCACTACCCTCTTCCATGAAATGGACGATTCTGCCATTAAGCCGAGGGCCCTGAGTGCACCTATCCCCGATGCGCTGCGACGTGTTTCCCTCACCAGTCGCAAAACCGACAGCGAGAGACAGGAGAACTTCGCTTTCGATGTCTTCGTCTTTCGCTGCATCCTTTTGCGACTTCAACAGAAATGGAGCATCGTTTTGTGTTGCAAAAGTGGTTCATCCACCAATCTGCTATCTGGATCATCCCCAGTGATCTTGGGATATCGACATCATTGACCCTTCTTCCATTAAAACCCATTGATTCTTACACCGATGCATCGTCTCTTCCACGAAGTTCCAAAGCGCCGACGGGAGCCTTCGGAAGCCAAGGGCTCGAAGACATCCCAGGTCACTGTGCAAAATACCGAAGGTCTTTGGATCTGCGCAAAAAAAGGCCTGAATATGCCTAAATGACTTTCACAGGATTGGAACTTCTTTAAGACAAAAAGGCTCTTTGCTACCAGTCTGTCGAATGCTAGGCCAACAATCCCTGCGCTTGGATTCAAAGCCTTCAGTGGTGGCGGTCTGAGCTGGATGGCACTGGACAGAACCGCACATTCGAGGTGTGGAAAATGGTCGTCTGAACCAAATCTGAACCAAAGAATTCTCTTGCTCCTTCTGGCTCCACAAGAGTTTGCACGCTAACATCAATGGGCTTCGGGTATTCAGAGTGAACATAAATGTATTGAGCTCTCATATGCAACGAGTGAATTATTGAATGCAGTTTCCGTAAAAATCCAGGCAACAAACCATCAGTGCATGAGCTATCCTGCGTCCAATATGTAGTAACTCAAGCAGCTAGTACCTTACGTCATTAACTAGGTGCTACTCCAACTAAGTATGGAGCCGGCTAAAGAATAAAAGCCCCTTATTTTCACGCTTTGGTCCAAGTGAGAGCTCCAGGCTCCGGGCTTTGGCGAGTGTCCATCGTCTGGAGAAGTAAATGTTAAGTTTCCCAAACAATCTAGTAACCAAATCACTAGCGCGAGCTCTCCTGCGTCCAGTCGGTCGTAGCTACTTCTAGGTACGAGTTGTGGCCCCCAACGGACCGAGCAGTCACGGGGGTTTGCTCTGTGTTCATTCTCTATTCTATTCTCGAAGTATTCGTTTTCCTATTCTTGGCTGAATGGAATTCTTGAGTGCTGTCCTCCATTCATCGACTTCCATGGCCATTCTCCCACCGGTCTGTCCAGGTTTTGCCCTTCGGGCAAGCAGGGCACTTACAGCAAGCCACGCCCTTGCCCATGGACTTGGAACCATTAACCTGTCTTGGTCCGCAAAAGAGGGGATCCAGCCATGGTCAGAAAGACCTCAGAGATGACACCTGAAAGTACCAAAGTCTCTTCCCTCAGACATCAGGGACTTGCAGGGGGCCCTTGAGTGATGTCATACGAAAAAGCGGTCAACGAGCATGTGACATCCTTTACAGCAAGAGCATGCAAGAACCCTCTACACATCATCCGCCTGTGATAAATTTCATGACAACTGATCTGGACAGCTGCCAATTTGCTGAACAGTCTGATCCTAGCCTCCAAGTTTCATTTATCTTTGGCACAAAACTGCGAAGCTGAGGGGTCTTTCTGGCCCTTCTCTGGGACTTTCCAAAACATCCAGTCCTGAAGAGTTTGGTGGGCCCTCCCGGAACCGCTTTAGAAGATTTCTCCTCCGAACATTGGTCCAACGCCGAATGAAACGCCGACCATTTCGGAGGAGTTGACCAATGTTCGATGGAGAGAGAGGCGCTTCGTCGCAGAATCAGAAGAGTGCTCTCAAAGTGCCACGGAGTCCGAGCCTTAGAGGGAGGGCTTTGAACAGCCACTGGGTCGTTTCAGCAACACCTGCCTGTGCTACCTGAGATGACTTGTCTTTTCTTAAAGAAGGAGCAAGGACGCTATGCTCGGTGGAGGGCAACGAGACAGACGCAACACCAAAGCGACGCTCGCGCGCACCGTGGTGTTGAGGTGTTGCACCGAAGCGACATGGAGATGACGTTGAACCAGCCGCGCACGAAGCCTTCCACGGCGCAGCTGGCGAAGATCGCGGAGACCACCTGAGGTTCGAAGAGCGACGAAGTCTCGCAAGAGCGAGGTTCGGCAGGCACACGGCGTCTTAGGATGTCTTAGGTGTGATTTCTTTCACATCTGCTCAGAGGAAATTTTGGCATCTTTTCGAAGTTCTCACCCTGAATCTACAGGTCATTGATGACCCAAAGGACCAGGACCCCAATCCACCAAAGCCTGTAGATGGCCATCATCCCCCACCACGAGATAGATCAACTAAAGCTCTTCACCCAGAAAGGCAAGAAGCTACTAGGAACAAGTGCATCGCTACTAGTAACAAGTGCCTTACTAGTAGTAACAAGTGCCTTACTACTAGTAACTATTAGTAACAAGTGCCTCGCCCAACCCTCTTTGGGCAACCGAAAGGGAGTGGGAGGAGTCGGGTCTCCCTCGACCGAGTCGGTCCGTCATGGCGCTGCAGGGGCAAAGCCATCGCCTGTGACCTCAGGCGGAGGGCGGAAGATGGAGGGCCAGATGGAATGCCGCAATGCCCTTGTTACTAGTGATGCATTTGGTTTTTTGTAGAGTGGAGAAACTGAAAGAGTCGACTAAAGGATTGGAAAAGCTAGATGCCCCCATGACGCTTGTTCTTAAATCGATGTTCTGATTGTGGACATTGGATTTGATGCTCAACTTCCCGCCACATAAGCACGTGGCTTCATCACGTGGTTTTGCCGCCATGGACTCTGTGATCTCTGGGTGCCCCTGTGAGGATTGCTTCGTCACTCCCAGACGTTGGATCCACAGAACATGAAAAATCCGGTCTTCAAGGCCACTCGTTTTGGTGGAGTCACTGTGATCTCCGCTCCGCGCTTCAGTGGTGGTCCAACTTCTCCCCACCTTCCCTGTTCACGTTCACAGGGCGAAAACGCTCCAATGACACGTTGGTCTTCCTTGAAGGGGGCTCTGTGAGTCGGACGGCCTTCGATCCGAAAAGGAGCGACCCTTCGACCGACGCACCGCCTCGCGCGCCAAGTCACATCTTGCCCTGCGAGGAGAAGACCCTTTGGCCAGTGTGGCACCTGCGAGACACGAGAACTTCACCCGAAGGAAGTTTTGTGTGAAGTTTCGCGTCACCTGGTGCTTGGTTGTTTGAGTGTTTCCTCTTTTGCTTCGGGACGTGTGACAGGTTGACCTTTCCTTTCTGTGGCCGTTCCTACGTGTAGAACTTTCGAAGAAAGCCACAGCCAAACCATCGAAACTCATCAAGAGGACACGCAAGAGCACAACACCAGAGCGTGGTCTGCACGACATGTCCAAGAACCAAATCAAACAAAACAATTTACCAGCTGCACAAACTTAGGATGGCCCCTAGTCGCTACACCTGTTCAATGGGGGCACGTTGGATGGTCATTCGTTCCATCAATCTCAATCCCGACCATCTCATAGCTCAAAGCCCTACCACTCAACACTTGCGTTTGTCTCTGAACTATATAGGCATGAAGTATGCCAACCGCCCAACGTGGAATAGTTGTTTTTCCTCAAAGTCTAGGAACCACATGAATAGTGCGAGCGCTTGAGCGCTTCCCTTAGCAGGTTACCTGGTTACCTAGTAGTTTGTTTAGCCCTTACTGAATTCAGTAGGCGCCTATTTACTTAAGTAAGGGGGCAACGGGCCCAGTCGAATGTCCGCCCAGCCAGGCCTTGGGCTTGGCGAAGAGCCAAGTTAAATCCGCGTTGGTCTTCTCCAAGGTCTGCTGCAAGCCATAACTCTCGCCCTGTGTCCTTGGAGATGTGAGTAGAGTGAGTAGAGTGGAGGTGTTTACTCGATAGCTGCCCTAAGTCTAACCACAGAAACATATATTCACGTCTTCACTTTCTCCAAGATGCTTGCCCAAGTAGAAGTTGGTGTCTAAGGGCGTTCCCATGTTCACATATTCCACTCGGCCCTTCGTCTGGGGATACCTGAGCGCGCTCAGGAAACTTCCGCATCGCTTTCGCTTTCGCCAGGTGACACCGGCAACAAACGCCGGGGCACCGTTTCACGGTGCCACAAACGGCGAGACTCATGGCCTCCAACCTACTACTTAGGTTTTGGGACTAGTCAGGTGATTACCCTCGAAAGATGGTGACACTTTTACTGGTCTTGATCACGTTGTCACACAATCCGTCGGCTCTTGTTGAAAGTCTTTTTCTAGCTACTAGTAGCATCCTTGCTACTAGTAGCGATGCCCTTGTTACTAGTAGCTTCTTGTTCTTAGTAGTGATGCACTTAGCTACTAGTAGCATTCCCTTGTTGAAAGCCTTCGAAGGACGACACGGAACTTCGACCAGCGGGTGAGGGCACTGGGTGTAGAGGATGTCCAGCAAACGCTCCTCGAAGCTCTTCTTAAAGGCTTCGTAGTCCTGCGGATGAAAACCGTTGGGGCACCGACCGATCTATTTGGAGCTCATGGTATTCAGGTGTGAAGGAAACTAGCTGTCTGCACAGCAAGGGCAAGTCCTTCTCACAGCCCCAAACGAAAAAGACATCAAACATGACAAAACAACTTTTCAAAGGAAGTTTAGAGGAACTTCCGTGCTACGAACATTTACATTAGCTGTAATTCTAGCAAAATTGTTCTACCACTGATCTCTAGCTCTAGTTCATTGTTCTACCATTGATCTCTAGAGGAGCTAGAGCTAGAGCTATGCTTCACTCATCACTCATCACTCATGCGTCTGACTGAGGGACACGAGGGACACGCATGGTGGAAAGAACCGGGACACTCCAAGAAGGTCAATTTGTTCTTTTTTTGGACACTTCCGCCTCACCATTTCGCCCGGGAACTACGGTCTTCACACTTTTGAAATCCGCACATCGTGTCATCCCATACCCAGCGGCCGCTTGATCCCGCACGGTCGCCTTCTTTCACCCCCCCATGGGACGGGGGACCGGGCCTGGCCGCGGTGTCGAACTTTGGTGCTCTGCCACTTCTCGAACCAATCCCAGGGCACATCACCTGACAAGGAAGATGGGAACATCACCTCACCAAGCAAAGGACGTGGCCATGATTTCTTCGGAAGGGGAAAGGAAGGTGGAAGTATATCGTGTTTTTTCAGCAACAGTTCTTTTCTGCAAACAACATCCTTTTGAAAAACACTCCTATTGGTCTCTCCGGGCGTGGGCATGTGTGACGCCCCAATGGGAGACCTGGCCATCTTGGCCGTCTTCCACTTCAGGAATCAACAAAACCTATTGAGTCAAATGATCGAGCAAAACCGGCACAAAAACGGAATTCCCTATGGTAACTCTTTTGGTTCTTCGCATAGCTTTACAGCGTCCCGGATGCCTGTGTCATTTTTTCAGACTTTCTCTTAAAAACACAAAAGTGAACTACACATGTAGAGAGGGAGACAAACAAAAATAGATAGAGAGACCACTAATGCAAAGTCCATATCAGTTGAAAAAGACACCTGTCCTGTCTCCTGTCCGTCAGGTCCCACCTGCAACCACTGCGCAGGTGCATCGATCCGGGTTGCGCTCATGGTAGGAGGGGTCCTGCGGAAAGGGTGCACCTTTTCGACCTCACTCGGTGAAAAGAAAACACACCAACGTCGGTCTCCCCCCTTTGGCTTAAAACTAGACTCAGTAGACACTCGATGAAGCGCCAAAACACTCAAAGAAAGAGTCTCAAATCCGCTTTTCGAGTGATCCAACTAGTTTATTCCTTGGACACTTCCAAGCAGTCTCCGCTTGCCAGCCCCCGCACATGGCCCGGGTTTCACTCCTTTGAAAATCATCGCGACAGAACTACAGTATCCGAAATGGTGGGATCCCTTCAAACAATTGACAAATTCTACACGCCGCTCCCTCACCAGCTCTACAAGTACCTGCAAGAACAAACGAAGCACGGAAAAGATCCTCAGCTGACACGAAGAAAACCCTAAAGAAACCAACGAAAGGTACAAAAACATTCAAGAAACATTACGTTTTGAGACGCCCCAACACTGTATTTTTAAATATGTCACCATGATGTCACTGATTCGGAAGATGTCGACTGGAGCCGCTTCGGTCCTTGGCGCTAGGAAAGGCCAAGCCCACATAGCCGAAGGGCGCCTCGTGGTCCGCGTGGAACTCCGCCATGCGCCGTGACAGGTCCTCTTCGACGAAGGCGAAGGCGAGTTCCGTGAAAACGGAGCGATGGACATACTGCTGTTAAAATGATTCTTTTAACAAAGCTGAAAGCCGGAGTGACATTTCTGCTCTGTAACATGCTAGAGCTGCTCAGTCACCATCTCCCATATGCATACTCACCCTCGAAGCTCTGCACATCTCCTACCCAGGCCCCCCAACTCTGCCTCACCGGGCAGCACCCACAGGTTGTTGCTGGGCAAGTTGAGCTCCGCGGCGCTTCCTCGCGCGCGGATGGGGGCTACGGTGAAGCCATGGCAAGCAACATCCTAAGTGGCCAAGAAGACCAGAGACCAGGACAAAAGACGAAGGATCAACGGGGACCAAGGGGATCAGGGACCAAAGGACTTAAGGAGTTGGACGCCAATTGAGTTGCTTTTTGCACCACCCGGCAGGGTTCGGGTAGTTAGACCTACCCCATCGTAACCTCTCCTGCTGCAGCGCACGCTGCAGCAGCCAGGACAGTGACAAACACAACAGCAAACAGCAAAACATGACACCAGCAACACACACACACACAATGACAACACTAAGCACAAGCGCTAACAACAACTACACATACGACAAACGAGAAGTAATGACGCATACAACGTGCAGTGACAACACCAAACATATCCCGCCAGTTGCCCGACCCAACGCACAGTACCTGACAGAACGACAAACACCCCGACAAACGGCAAACAACGCTGCACACAACGACACAAAACGAAAGATTATCACAACACGTGTAGTACATGACAACGCACCAGGAGTTTGTCCTCGACAGCAATGAGACACCGCCATGAGACACAGAACAACAACACCAAACGTTCTTCCGCAACACACTGTGGTCCAGGGATGCCTCGCCAGTCACCCCGGAAGCAGTTATCCAACCACTGGGCAGCTCGGGATAGCTCGAGGTTGAAGTAATTCTTGATAGAAATCATTGTCTTTATTTTGATAGAGGTCTATTACTTGTTTATAGGTATCTGTGAAACTCGGATGACCGTTGATCCCAATCCCGCACCGGATGACCGGCTCGAAACGTCGGCGCCAATTCAACAGTATCACATGTTTCCATTGCTGTGCTCCAAGTCGTGCTCCAACGAGGCCAACACTCCGATCCAGATCACCACTGCCCAACACTACACTGGCCAGAAGAAAGTTGCGCTTCTTGATGTTGAAACTCATGACAACCCTATCCCCCTAGAATCCTACACCATGAGACAAGGGAAGGTGTGGGCGGTCATTTGTCACCCCGG